GCAAAAATATTGAAATAATCGTTAATCGAATTTGGTCGAATTATTTTGTAATACCATTTTACCGGTAAGTAAACAATATGGTTCTAAACAATAATTCGAATAAAAATCGGTAGAGGATCAATAAGAGTCGCATCAATGTCATAACCTAATCAATAAAACATTAGCTCACTCGTCCGTTACACAGTATTATTTGTTACTGTCTCTTAAATAGCGTTTATTATAACTTAAATATGGAGAATTTTAGCGATGCTTTGTATCATTTTAATTGATAATTTAAAAATTTCCATTATATATTCATATGAGATCAATTTAAAAAAGAACGGTTCGACAGCACTGATTAAATGTTTTTTAATAGGACTGTATATCTTTTATGCTCAAATCGATGTATCCTCGAATGCTCTTGAAAAAATGGTTATGGTACTTATATCAAAAATGAATTAGTTCACGCGTTATGATTTTTGTCGCGAACGCTCGTCTATTTGCCGCACTGTGCGACCGCGATGGTACCGAGCACGATTGTAAAATGCAATATTAAGTGGATGGGGTCGGTTACGGGGTTAATAATGCAGCCGGGGACAATAATGGGACCGGGAAGGGGCTGAACGATGGGCAAATAAAATCCTCTTCGGAATGGAATGGCTTCGCGGAAAACACGCGAAGAAAATTGTTGCAATAATTGGCCGGCTTCTTATATGCCGTTTTTATTGTCCGAACGGTTTTATTTGCCGGCTGTAAACACGAGGAACATCACTTCGTAGAGCACTTCGTCGATCGGAGAGGGTGGGTGGCGGATCAATTTTGCGTAGGCGGTTCAAACATGCTAACAGAAATATATGAGCATAACTATTTATTCAATGCTTCGCGAGGATCTGTGTAGGATAAAAATTCAGCTGAATTTTACTGGACAATTCTTAGCAATGATCTTTACAAAATATATATATGCTTGGTTTGCAAGTTTGTAAATATAACCTTGACAATTTTTAATTCCTTTTCTCTACTGATTTATATATCATGTGTGTGTATATGCATACATAGAGATTGCATATGCGTACAAGGAATTGTTTGCACTTTTATACACTATTTAAACGGATCTATTACTATTATTTATTGTTTCGAAACAATATCTATTCTATTACTATTTATTGTTGCGAAATCGAGACGAAGAATTAATTTTACTTCTCAAAACGTTAGGACGATATAAAATAAAGAGAGCAAAATTCAGTTATCTTTCATTTTTAATTTAAAAGTACTTTATTGCATGCAGATTTTCGCACAGACTATACATCGAACCATTTTATAAAAAATGATTCATCAATCAAGATCCGACATCAAATATGAACCGTATGACGTAAACACAAATGTGATCGCCGCATGTAACAAATTCGGTCAAAACAAGAAAATCACGATCACAGTGATAATAAATCACTGTTAATCACGTCGCCTCTAATTGACACATCGCTTCTATCCTTAAACATCCAATCCAAATACTGTAAAAATATGTGTATTTCGTTGAATAATTTCGCCTTCTCCAGGAAACACTGTTCGCGGCAGCGGAACAGTTCTATTACTAAATGTTAATTTTCAATTATCATAAATAGCGAGCAACGTCCCGCGTCTTATCCGTCGCAGGGACGGCGACGGCACCGGAGACGAAAAAATTGCTGGAAAAAACGGCAGCAATGGAAATTGCCCGGGGCCTTTTTATCTCGGCTGCCGGGAGCAGACTGTCTCGCGAAGGGGTTGGGAAATGAGATATACAAAATTCCCGGGGAGAAAGTGGCGGAGCCGTTCACGGGCATCTCGATAACACCCGGCACAAATATTTAACGATATCTCGCGGCCGTTCGTGAATTTCGCAGACGCGGACGATTATTTCCGTTCGTAGGGGATGCCGAAGCCGAGGGACCGCGCGATCGTCAAACAGAGCTCAACGCGTCGATCGCAGCACCCTTTTCACCGTGTCCTTGCTCACTTTCGTTCGAGCGGTGTCTCCTCCTTACTTCATCCCCCTGCTCCGCGCTCGTCGCACAACTTTTCAAACGCTTTCTCTTCGATTGCTAGACAATTACAGCCAAATTATTCTCGCTTCTCTTCGATATTTTCGTCCAGGAAGTCACGTCGACACGTTTGCTTCGGATGACGCATATTCGAGTCTTCGATGGAAGACGATAATTCTTTCGAATTCTCTTAATAAATGTTCAATTTGATAAAAATTAAATCGAATTTGAAGAGCCTTACTAAAACGAATTGCTGAAAGAAGAGCACAGTTGTCCACTTGACAAATATTGATTTCGATTGAAAGATTTTCATCTACGAATTCTCGTCGCAATAATCATGAAAATAAACCACCGAAAGAAAAGCACAGTATCCAGATCGACGAGTTTCAAATTGCAGGAATAAAATCTCCCGAAAATAATTACTGGAAGCTTTTATTGATGGAAAAGCACGGCGCATTCATCGGATAACGGCTCGTTCCCCGGAATTGTTATGATAGTAATCGAGCCGGAACGGGAGACAAAAGGGCGGTAAGCAAGGGATGATTCGGCCGATGATGCGGCAGTGTTTTTTCTCGATGCCGATCCCTCCCTGTTGCAGCTCGCGGGGTGCCCCGGCAGTTTTTCACGTTTCCCGGACCGTCCCCGCGCCGAGTCGAAACTCCCAGTTAGGGTCTCCCTTTAATTCGGCTAGAATCCTCGTGCCGGCCGATCGGACGGCCGGCTAAAAGGGAGCCGATTGCTTTCCGCGAGTAATTCCTGGTTGCACAGATCGCTGCAATTCCGTGGACGATTGCCCCGGAATGTCGAGGAATCTCCGGGCTTCTTTCCGTTCGATTTTTCTCGGCTCGATACTGTACTCGTTGCCCTCCGTCCCCCAACCCCTCGGGGTCCGCCGACGTCGATTTCCGCTCGTCTATTTTTCTCGGGCGTTCGTCTTGTTTCGTATCCCATCCGGCATCGATTGGAGCCTACAAATTAGATCGTTCGATCCGCGCTCAGAATTTTTCTACTGTATTAAACGAGATTTTTCGGGAGACTGTCGGAGCGAACGATATCGGATAAATTACCGGGTTCCCGGGAAAACGGCGCGGGATCGTCTTTCTGCAACGAGAACTTCGAACGGAGGAGCTGTTCCGTCGGAAAAATCTTCTTGGCGATTTTTAAGGTAGCCTCTCTGCCCCAGAATCTGTTTCTTCGATTCCGATTTCGTCGTTAACCCCTTTCTATATTAATTTCCTTGAATCCCTCGCCGTATTATTTCCTTCGCAGTTAGCATGGCTAGTACTCTTTCGATTGTAATGATTTAATAACAAGAAAGGAAAGTTTTGTTCCGGCTTAAAAAAAGAGGGAATAAGGTCCATACTTAACGGATTATTATTAACGAAGTTCATTGATTTCCTTACGGATTACAATTTTACAAATAAAACAAAAGTAAAATAAGATAGAATAAAATAGAGTACAGCAAATTAAACTCGAATGAAATACAATAATTTACGCAATGAATATTTTTATTAGAACTCTCCGTGACGAGTCACACTCGTCTTTGTACGGCGAGGGGTGAATATTTGTTATATTTGTGCATTGATCCTAACCCATGAATATTGACGAGAAAAAAATACAATATTATTTCGATCTCAGTGTACAATAAATTCTCGCTGGAAGCTCTCCGGAGCTTGGAATTGAAAACGGAGGACATTCAGTCGCGAATGAGTGAATTCTGAACACGTTAATTCCGGCGGGAACTTGGCTTTTCGATTCGACGCCGTGCAGAAATAAATAAATTAGCACTCGGCGATCCGAGTGCAGTTTTAACGCGGCAAACATTAGCGCAGCAAATATTAATTAGCCGAGCATCGAGGCCGGTGTTAATATTTCAATATGCTTGCCGCCGAATGTAATTCACCATTATGAAGCCGCGCTTGCATCGGCGACAGTGCATCCAGCAGTCGTTTTTCAATTAATCGCCGATACGAAATGCCGGGCCGAGCTGGAACAGGCGATCCGTGAACGCCGGAGAGAAATCAGAGGCATTTCGGCGGAGGAGATCGTCATCGCGTTTCAATTAATTAGACCATTAGAGCGTCTCTCGCCGAGGAAAGGTTCCCTGGGTCTTGTCACTCTTTCGCGCCGAAGATTGCACGCTGGGACGCTCTCGATTCGATGACACACCCTCTCGAACCTCGCTCCATAAACTGCAGGGTAATCTTTTTCTTCGATGAAAAGGAGAAAGCCCACTCCTCCGCTTTCCGCCTCCCCCCCGGCGCCCCGTTTCCCGGCACCCTCTGTCACCTTTTATCCGCGCGGCGGTCTTTTCGAGCGCTTCCGGCTCGCCGAGTCGATCGAACCTATCCAGATGTTTAATTAAAATGATTTTAATTGCGAAAATGGAGTCGGGCGATTCTCCTCGGCCGGATCCAACCCCTTTGTAACTTTATTCTCGACGGAGACCAGGCTGGAAGCGTTCCCGGCTCGATGTGGGCCACTTACAGGACGTTCCTTTCGTCGCGCGGCCTCTCCGAAGGACCTCCGGGTAATCTGCCATAATTGTGCACCTCGGGGATATTTTTGGATGAGAAAATTTTGAACTGTTCGCCGAGAAAGACTGTTTTAAATGCAGAAGGGTTTTTTCAATTATGTCTTACAGATTTTGAAACAGAAATTCCTCAATATCTCCTTGTCTTTCGATATTTCTAGAAAAACGATTGGCAGAACAGCGATAATTTTGTAATTGAGAACAATTTTTTGGTAGAAAAATTATGGGGTACTGTCTAAAATAGGCCAATTGGTGCCAAGAGTAGTCTAAAGTAGGCCATTGGTGTCTAAAGTAGGCCAAGAGTGCGAAAAGGTTTTTTGAGTTATGTATTCTGGCTTCTGAGAAAGAAATTCCTAAGGATGACCTTTCTTTAAATTGTTTAAGTATTCTTTTGATTTGCATGTTTGGCTTCCAACTTCTGCATAACTGTCATCAAATTTGTAATCATTTTTAACAATAAACAGGCGTTGTTGAATCAAATATCTCTCTATACTTCTGCTTGTAAAATGTCAAATAATATCCGTCGATCTCGTACAAAAAGTTCAAACGGCGCGAAATTTAAAGGTAACGCTAAAAATGGACGCCCTTCATAATCTGGCCAGGTCAAATGGTAGGTCCTGTACAAAAGACACCAGAAACAGGTACTGTCGATCGTTTAAACGCCCCAGTTGGCCGGCGACGAATCGGTGGCTGCGGGTCGACGCGGCAGAACTGCAGGAACGCGTTCGCGCGGATCCGCACGCTCGCTTGCACGCGGAAACGAAGAAAGAGGAGGGCGCGGGAGGTGGTAGAAGCAACCCCTTTTCCGAAAACCGTCCTCTCGCTAACGATTTGTGCACCGCTGCCTCTCGGAATCCCTTCCCTTGCCTTTCGCCCGCCTCGAGGCTTGAAAATTCATCTGACTTTTCGGAAGATCATCCCCCGGCCGATCTCCCCCGGCCGCCCCCGCCGCGACACGCTCCAACTACCCTCCGAGTAGTCGGTTCCCGAAGAAGATCCAGAGTCGGAATTTACGAAGCCGATCCTGCGGTTTTTCCGAGCAGGGAAACTCCGACTCGTGTGATCTTCGGAGAATCGTCTGGATAGAGGAGGATTTCGCGCGGAGAAGACGCGATTACTATCTTGTAATATCCAATGGACGATCCTCGTAGAACTCCCAAAATACGAATCTGTAAACGAAATTACTGCGTCACCCGCAGTTTTCGAAAAATTTGAATTTTCGAGATTACGTTCGGTTTTTGACAAAAATAAGATATTATGTGAAAACTGAAAAGGTTAGAAAGATTCAACCCTTTGCAGTCAGAGCCATTTTAACTCTAAATCCAAAATAGTTTTTCTGACCTAAATTATTTCCATTTTATACAACCTAGTGCATTTTATACATATGGCATTGAATTTTGGGACTCATGTAATGGTTACAGTTTTAACAGTTCTTAAAATAGAAACAAACTTGATAATATTAAAATTATTTTGAAACGTGGACAAGTTTTGGTGGTATCTTAGAGTCGCCACTCGACTGCAAAGGGTTAATTAGGTTCTCGAAAGATAGAGAAGAGATTTCTGAACATGTCAGTATCGATATTTATAATATTTTCTGCTTCTAAGTACCGTTAAACGACGGTTATAGTTTAAAAAAATTCTGGAGAACGTATTTTCCACGCAATATATTTACACGTTTACGAAAAGGAGTTATCTTGCACGAAATCTGACCACTGCATCCGACTCTGCAGACATTTTTTTATAAATATCTGATATTTCATAATTTTTCAACACTTTGATAGAATTCATAAATGTTCATTGTATGCGAATATATAGCGACAAAATAAAGTAATAACATTTTTAATCGTATCTCAGCCAAATATTTGTAGAAGTTAGTGTATGTACCTTTTCTATCGACGTATACCAGTGTTTAAGTTAATATTAACCCTTAAACAGACTGCCAATTACTGCTAGTTATTGTTTCAGTAAATATTGAATATTTCCAAATTAGTAAGTACAAGCTCGCGCCGAGTTAATGTAGGAATACGTGAATTTTGAAATAGTTACATTAACATATATTATCGCACGACTCGTTTAACCCACCTGCCGGACTTTGTGTGTAAATCGTGTATGTCGTACTGGGTCACACGGACTCTGTTCAGTTTTCAAACTTCGCACAAGAACTGGCGATGCTATTGAGACACACAAATTTGTGAATATATTTTGAACATTTCTAAAACGTCATTTCCTTTATTAGAACTCGATATCTTGTTTTCAAGCGTATCGAATTAATTGTTCATTTCCTCTTCCTCTTAACACATCAACGTCCGAATAGCTAAAAACAGTCATATCCTTGATTGTCCGTGAAATGCCGGAGAACTAAATATATATATATATATATATATATATATATATATATATATATATATAGTCAAAACTTATTAAAAGAACTTATTAAAACTTTAATGCTGATATTTTGTAAATTATTGGGTTGGCAACTAAGTAATTGCCGATTTCAGTTATAGATGTCTCTCACTCCCATTTTTATGATATCCGTAAATGTTATATTATAAAATTATTATTATTATTATTATGTTATTTTTTATTATCCGTGAATGTTAGCAACTGGACAAATTGNAAATGTTATATTATAAAATTGTTATTATTATTATTATGTTATTTTTTATTATCCGTGAATGTTAGCAACTGAACAAACTGAATGTAGCGGTCAAGGAAAAGCGACTAGAATTGGTCAATCGTAAAGGTGTCATTTTCCAGCAGGACAATGCTAGGCCGCATACGTCTTTATCCACTCGGCAAAAATTGATGAATATTGCTTGGGAATTGATGTTACACCCACCATGTAGCCCTGATCTCGCGCCATCGGATTACCACTTATTTCGATGCCTGGACAACTCCCTTCGTGGTAAAACTTTTAACGACGATGACGCTGTAAAATCTCACTTAACTCAGTTTTTGGTCGAAAGGGATCAGACTTTCTACGAGCGTGGAATTTTCAAGTTGTCAGAGAGATGGCAAAAGGTCATCGAACAAAAATGGAAAATTCATTACAGATTAAACTTCATTCCAAGTAAAAGAAAATTTTTTATTTCATTGAACCAATCGGCAATTACTAAGTTGCCAGCCCAATACATCAATTTTTGTAAAGTGATGTAACAAATTTAACCCTTTGCACTCGAGGGCTCCGGAGCGGAGCCATTTAAAATTTGTCTTCAAACTCGAGGGCTCCGCTACGGAGACAATGCAAATAATTTTCAGTTTTTAACATAAGAACAAAAACAAATCGTAAAAATTAGTTATAGGATGTTTCGCTGTTGGTGACAAATGACGTTTGTATCCATAAACAATTAAAAAAATAATAGCATACAACGATGACTTTTCTTTTAATGCTTATATCATGAACTTACATGTGAATATGATCTTTTCACTAAAATGGCTTCGAGTTGCTGGTAATATGACTCAAAAAAAACTTCGAGTGCAAAGGGTTAAAGTAGGCAACACACAAAAGTTTTCGCACAAACAGTCCGGATCGTATTGTATTAAGACAATAGCACTTTTTCGAAACGAATAACAATAATAACAATTATTGATACGTATAATAATAACAATAATTGACACGTCGCGGTACAATCGCCGGGATAAATAAAACGCGTATCGATCCTTCCGGTCGAACGTTGATATTAAATGTGCGGGTGGCGCGATAAAGGCTGCAACTCGAAATTCTTCGTTTAACGGCCGATTCACGGCCGACACGGCGACGTCGAACGGTAATCGACAACAGCGAAATAAGTAACATAATTTCGCAGGCATTTTCTTTTTTATCTCCGTTGCCCGCGCAATTTATGTGAGACCGTTACGCAACGGTGTCAACGAATAATCGCGAATCGTCGATGCCTGTCGACAAGCTTTTGATGAAATATCGTTGTAACGAAACGAGAACCGCCCCCGTATCGCGAACGGCCGAACGAATTCGGTTAAGAGTCGCGCTAATGAACGCGAATTAACGCGCCGTGTGGAATGAAATTTCGTATGAAAATTCGCTATGAATATCACGTCGGTCGCGGTGAAATTTTAGCGGTCATTTTCATACGCGTTTAGAATTCCCGTTCCGTTTCACCGGTAAATTGAACCCCGACGAATACCGCGGGCTTCCGATCGTATCCTGTTGCGTAAATATGTTTGGATTCGTTTGTACATCGTTTTCGGCGGCTGCGAAATCGGTGCAATTAAAAAGCCGACTTTGCTCGCGATCTGCTCCGAGCTCAACGTTCCTGCGGATTTTAATGATTCCAGGACAGAATGATCCCAGTTTCTCTCTGCTGTAATTTAACGCCAGACACATACCATGACGATATGTGCGCGTAGTTTTGTATTGATCGTAAATACAGTCGACAGCAAAAGTAAAGCATCGCTAACTTTTCGCCGAGAAATTCTCAATATTTGACCAGCTGTAACTTTGTTAAAAACTATCATAAAATTATGACATTTTTCAAAAATTAAACCTTGAAATCTCTACTTTACGATACCGTATTCTAATTGTTAATACCAGGTAACCCTAAGACTGTAGTATCCTAAATATGAGGGCGCGTTCATGATAGCGAAAAACGTTGCACTTCTTTTTTCTACAGGATACTATAGCGATACGGTTGCATGATATGAAAAATTAGAATATGATGTCGTAAAGTAGAGATTTCAAGCTTTAATTTAAAAAAAGGATCATAGTTTTATGATAGCTCTCAACGAAGTTACAGCTGTTCGAAAAAGATCGACAAGTTTAAATATACTAATGAACATTTGAATTATCGTTAGAAAAATGCCGCGAAAGTGAAACGACGAATATAAATCGTCGATTTGTGGATCGAACTATGGAACGTTTAATTTCCATATGAAATAAATAATCGTACAGATTCGAATAAACCGCGCACGCATCGTGATTTTTGGCGCGCGATTCGAACCTGCTGTCCGATTACGCAACCGCGTTTCGGCATCGTGTGCGTGTTAATTATACGCGGTCGTTGGTGTTTCGTTTTGCCGTCGGGTAAATAAATAATGGCAATAAATCGTCCTTGAAAGTCCAGAATACGGTGTCTAGGTTGGTCGACGGCCAAGAACGGCGACGAAGAAAAATTCGTCGAGGTTTAATCGGCCCGACAGAGACTGGATTTATCGCGAGTACTCGCGATTGGCCCGATCCTCCGGGCTTATTTTCGGGCGAGCGGATCCGCTAGCGCGGATTCCGTGCCAATCTGTAATTAATTACGAAACAATCGCGCGACCGAAGGCGAGGCGCTGCACGCGCGACACTATTTAAAGATTATAATAACGGGATTACTGGACTCGGGACTTGGAAGGCTACTCTGTCATTCTTCTTTCTGTGACCTTTCCCTCTCTCTCTCTCTCTCTTTCTCTCTTTCTCTCTCTCTATCTCTATCTCCCTCTTTCTATATATCTCATTCTCTCTTTCTCTTTTTCTCGCTTTTTCTTTCTCTCTTTCCCCCTTTTTCTTCCTCTCTCTGTCCTTATGTCTCTCTGTTTCTTTATTTCTCTCGCTGCCTATCTCTCTTTCTCTCTGTCTCTCTCTCTCTCTCTCACCTCTCTCTCTATCTCTCGCGCTCTCACCTCTCTCTCTCTCTCTCTCTCTCTCTCTCTCTCTCTCTCCCCCAGTGGTCTTGTTTCAGCTTACGTAAACGACCGAAACGCGGATACGCGTACGCGATTTATTATCGCGCGCGGGTTGCACCTGTTGTTCCGGCTGGAGACGCGACGAATGCGCTTGTCAGTCGGCTGCGAAGCCCGCGGACGCTGTTATATATCGGCCAATAAATTTATTTGTTTATTAATACGCCGCCGCATGACACGCGTGCGCCGCGATAACGCGTTTAACGTCTCCGAAAGCCGACGGCGCTAGCCTGGCCTAGAAATTGTTGGACTGACGCTTCATTGTCGACGCTGCGGGCTCGAAACTTTGCTCGGAGGGTTCTCAATCTCGTGGATTATCAGGCCGATACTGATCTCCGTCTGGAATGCAAGAGTCAGTTGCGAGTCGAACTACGAATTCGACTGTAGACGATTTTTTATCTAATCGACGTTTCGTCTAATCATTTTTCTAACAGCTTTTGTCCAATCATTCTTGTAATCGTTCTTGTCCAATAAGTTTTGCAATAGCTTTGGTATAATAATTTTTGTAGCAGCTTGTGTCTAATAATTTCTGTAACAATTTTCGTCTAATCATTTTTGCAACTGCTTTCGTTCTATCGTTCTTCTAATAGCTTTGGTCTACTAATTTTTGCGATAGCTTCTGTCTAATAATTTCTGTAACAATTTTCGTCTAATCATTTTTGCAACAACTTTCGTCCTATCATTCTTCTAATAGCTTTGGTCTAATAATTTTTGCGATAGCTTCTGTGTAATAATTTCTGTAACAATTTTCGTCTAATCATTTTTCTAATAGCTTTCGTCTAACAACTTTTGCCCAATAATTTCTGCAACAGTTTTCGTCGAATAATTTTCGCAACAGCTCTCGTCTAATAATTTTGGAAATATCGGAAGATCGATTACATTTAGATCGTGGATTTCGTGCATTTGTAGAATCCGACGTTAGAGATGCATAGCATGCTGCAAATTCGTTGCTGTTCCCTTCGGTTCCGGATCAATTAACGAATTAGTAGACCGAATATGCAAGGATTCTTGTCCATAAAGGACGTCGACGGTCGTCGATTGCGATGACTTCCATTGGGAAGGACATTCGAGAGCGATAAAAACCAATTTCTTCGTGGATCGTACCATAATCGATTGTGTTTGGTTCTCCCGGCAGGTCTGAGGAAGGTGTACCCGTACTACTTCACGTTCACCACGTTCACGAAAGGAAGATGGGTCGGCGAGAAGATACTCGAGGTGTTCGCGAGGGAGTTCCGCGCGCATCCCGCGGAGGAGTACGAGCGGTGCATCCGGGCCGGGACCCTGACGGTCAACTATCAGAAGGTGGACGTCGATTACAGATTGCGGCACAATGATCTGCTGGCGAACGTCGTGCACAGGTAAGAGGAGAAACCCACACGCGGCAGCGAAGCTGCTCGTACACGTTGTCCACCTAGCTGCGAAACTGATCCGCACGATTTCCTCCAATCCGGTCCCCGCTAGTGCTTCAAATTCTCTCGTCGTGGAAGCAAAGTCATCTACTTTCCCGCCTTCCTCGATCACGGTGCACCTCTTCGCGATATTCGGAAAAGAGCTCGATTCGCAGACATGTAAACGAGCTTCTTGTTCGACTCCTATTCATTGGTTTATTCATTGGTTTTTTTTCCTGTCTCGATAAAATGTAGTAGACTATCTTTCCAGTATTAAAGTGGTGGCGAAGGTCACGTTGCACTCTTTATAATCGTTTTCTTTTACCGGAATAATGCGCATCGCCCTAACAAGGTTCTCAGTTTGTATTATTCATCGGTGTTTTTTCTGTCCCGATAAAACATAGTAGACGATATTTCCATCAAAGTAGCTGCGAAGGTCAGGTTGCACATTTTACAATCGTTTTCTTTCACGGTATAATTTAGTCAAGCCTTAGGCTAACGATGTTGACTTCTTCGTTCGTGATTTTAATCAATCTCGACGTATTAGACGAGCGAAAGTAAGAAGAAAATGTCATGTATACGTGGGCTCGAAAATGCTCGATTAGAAATGGCAAAAATACAAAATGACAATGGACTGGTTTTCGTTTGATGTAGACACATGTTAGTGGTATCTCTTTTATCTCTGTATTTACTAATCCTTAAGCGCGATATTTTCGCTGTTATTTAAACTATCCATCGTTGTTTTTATCATGTTTTCGTTGCTGTTACTTCGTTGTTATCTTTATTGCGCGTCGCAATAAAGTAATTTGAGACAATATAATTATCCAAGATAATTATCCATCATTATCGTTTACAAATATATATTTATATCGTTTATTGTTCCCATGCCAAAGTGTCGAACATATTTGTTCACCCGCACGTTATCCTACGTTTACGTTTGTCCTTGCATTTGCATACTATAATTATATTGTTTTCTTACTACTACAATTATTATTATTATTATTATTATTATTATTATTATTATTATTACTGTTATCATGTTGAATTTTTGTAAAATTATATAAATTAAATGAAACTGAATTGAATTAAATTGTACTAAATTATGTTAAATCGAATGAAATTGGATTAAGTTAAGTTACATTAAATTAAATTGATGTAAATGAAATGAAATGAAATGACATTAAGATAAATGAAATGAAATTAAATCATTAATTATGAGGCTCCATATTTACATACTGCTCTACCTTGATCCGTGCAGATATTAACGTTAAATTAAACACGAGCGGTGAAGCGGGCATCGAATGAACACGTTATGTAAATTACCCAAAAATGCATATAACATTAGGCTGTCAGAATTCTTGAATTACGTAAGCATCGTAGCCACAAAAACGCTTAAAAGTTGCAACCGAATGCAAAGTCTGCGATCCAACAATTTCGGAATCGCGCGATCCTGAGTTGAAAAAACGAGACACAAAAATCAGTAACGATTAAAAAATGCGAGTACATGAAGATGTAGCCAGGGAAACCGAGCGATTTCTCGAGTTAGCATCTTCGGCGATCAGTTTCGCAGCTGACTCGGCTCACCGGAAGCCGGTGTTCTTGTGTTTCGTGCGCGTCCTGTGGCCCCGGTGTGTGCGTGTGTATGTGTGCGTGTGTGCGTGCGTTTCTTCCGGTTGATTTTGCCGGAGTACTCGGAAGAATAATCGAATTATTCACCGGCAATTGATCGCCTAATGAGCCGAACTTCGGATCGATCGTTAGTCGAAGAAGAGCCTCGGTCTCGTTCGCTCCGAGAAACGAGCCTTCGCCGGGCATCGACGAGACAGACGGAACACGCGCGTCTTCTTCGCGGTCTGTTTTCTTCTTTGTGATCGCGGATCGGACGGGAAGTTGAAAGCTCGATCAACAAAAGAAACCGGCGAATGAAACGCTCCGAGGAGAACAGAACGCGCCCCGAAGCGGATCTCCTCCGCTTCTCGTCGAGTTTGCCGAACGCTCTCGCGCGCTCGCGGTTATATTATTCCCCGGGCTCGGGACAAATAAAGGAAAGCCGTTCGTTCCACCAGCACCGTGTAATTATTTCGCGACGAGATACGGATTCTCGTCCGCGGATCGCGACGATTCGGATTCGGAAGCTCGTTCTCGTTTAGACGACGCGTTCATTCGTCGCCGTTTATTCGCGTTCCTCGAGCGTTCCGACGAATTTTCTTCATCGAGCCGTTTCGATCACCGGTCGTTTTAAAATCGTCGGTTCGCGTTGCTTTGGTCATTGTTCGTTCGTACAATTGTCCTTCGACACGTCGACCGCCAAGCCTATTTTGTAGAAGTCTGTTCAAGACGGCGATACTTCTTTTTTCAAAATAAATAAATGATAGTAAGAGAAAGATGATAATAATAAATAAAATAAAAATAATAAGAAGAAATAAGAACTAATAATAAGTAAAAAAATAATAAATAAGTCCTTTCTTTTGTTACTAACGAACGTTTAACCAACACATCCTGGTGAGCATCTTCTGACCGTTTTCGCAATAATTTAAAGAAAAACAATTGAATATCTAAACTGCAAAATTGATCATGCAAATGTAACATCGTCGGTACAATGTTCTCTTTCTGTTAACAAAGAGATACTGAGAAAACAAAAGAGTGTACAGCGACGAATAATAATATTAAATGAAGCTTCGCCGCCCGACGGCGAACGCAATTAACGGCGAAACGCGTTCCACATATATTTTTTTGGTCGTTCGATCTTTTCTTCCGTCCACGAAATGTGCCATCTGCGCGGGCGAGTTGATTGTTTATTGTGTTTCCGCGCGTCGCTTTTGTTTCGGCCGTCCGTTGTATTTGCTTTTCATCGGTGAATGAGAACCACTGCGCCGCGTGTGACAGCCAATATTTTCCGTTGTAATATTTATACACCGCGAATGCGGGCCACACGTAAACCGAAAGCGGGACAGGGTTGATTTTTTGTGTCGCCGCCGCGGACTTGAAATTACCATTTGTAAACTCTGATATTTTTTTTCCTCCTCCTCCTTCTCTCACCCCCCCCCCCTTTCGAGTTTTCGGAAATACTCGCGGGAGATCGTTGTTGCGCAGAGGGGTTGCGATGGTTCCCGATGACGTTTGCCGGTTTCGGTTTCGTGTTTTGAACAACATCTGACAAACAATTGGAAAATTGAGACTGGACGGTGAATCGAAAACATTTAGAAAAACGGCTAAACGTAACAGCGACGATGTAATCAGTTACATTTTAAATACATGTTTTTTTTTGTAGGAATTCAATCGAACTCTGTTCTAGCTTCACTTTACAGCAGATTAATGCGATACGATTCTTCGTGCAAGGATTATTGCAAACAAGTTTTTAGCTACCGCCGTCGAAGGTTATTTAATAGACGACATTTAACTTTTTCCTACGGTGTGCTAAAAAATTCATAAATATTCTTGCGCTACCTGCGTCCGCGTAATTTTCCCTCTTCCTAGGTTAATACAATAAAGTCGGAATTATGCACGAAATGCACGCTTTCAGTTCATTTTTAAATCCATCGTATTTAACACCGAGCGTTAACTACTTCCCAACTTTCATTCTCCTACGCAAATTGCACGCATGTGTACATTAAAAAATCTCCGTAGAAGCTGTTTCATGTTTTCAGTAAGTCCGAAACAAAATTTCTGTTCGTAGGCTCACATATCGCGAGCTTATATTTCCCTTCTCGAACAACGACAGATTTTGGCATTATTCGGATCGTTTCGAATAAATATTTATCTAAGATAATCGTCCGATTGAATTCCTTTTAGTCGAATATTTTATTCGAGTAATTCATCATAAATTGTTCTATCTATTTCTTCGAATAATTCATCATAAATTATTCTATCTTTTTATTCGAATAATTCAACTAATTTTTTATTTGGATAATTCGAATAATTTTTTATTCAAATGACTGATATGAAATAAATAAATCGAGAAACTATGAAAAAACATTTTACATTCTATCATTTTTATTCGAATCAATTTTATTTCCGGTATGAATTCCTTTACGAGTAAATTCTCATTTGAATAAAATCTTATTCGAATGAATACTCGTTCAAATCAATTTGTATGTAGATAAATATGTACTCGATCGAATACTCGATACTATCGAACACAATTTTATCCGAATATAATTTCGTTCAACCCTGATGTAGAGACATCCTGTAGCAGGATGTCTGTACAAATTGAACAACGGCCAATCGCCGGGTCGTCCTGCCGCGAATTATCCAACAGGACGATCCACTTTCAGGAAATATCGGGACAGTATAGAGCTATAGCAGAGTCTCGTACTACAGCAGAACTCTGTTCTGCGCCGAGTGTTTCTAAGCACCGGCGACAATGGACTCCCGTTATCCTCGTAGGTACCGCGCGGCCGTGATATCCTTGGCACGGATATCAAAAGGAATCCACGCCCGTTGTTCAAACGCGTCGTCTGCCAGGCTAGCCTGGCATTATCAGCGCAGTTATCGTATACCGGGACAAGGTCCGCGATTTTTCCTCGCGTTCCCGAAGGCCGGCCGTAAAGAAAAGAGGATGTCCTTTCTCCTCGATGCAACTTCCGCTCGACGCGCACAATCTTCCGCGAGTGTAATCCTGCTGACACGTCCGAATGCGAAGTATCCGCGTCCGTCTTGGCCTTCTCGGAGATGCTATTACCATAATTGCATGCCAGTAACGGCAAGCCTTTCCTTTTTTAAAGGAGGCCTAGCATTTTCGAAGGCTGATCATTATTTTTTCGCCTGCGAACGTGTTCACGAAAATCGAAGCTTTTGTAGAGAGTATGATCAAAATTTATTATAATTAAATTTTGTATTAAAAGTTTATTATAATTAAATTTTGTATTAGAAGTTTATTATAATTTAGAATCAATCGATTTAAATTTCTATGAAGAATATATGTTCTAATTAACATTTCTATGGTAAACTATCATACCTCAAATTTATTA